GATGCCTAGAACTTCAAAGAAAGAACGAACCAAGGGCGAGAAAGGGAATTTAATCGTCGTCTCCGCAAAAGGGTATCTAAAGAAAACAACGAAATCTTCGGGACAATCCTCCACCGTTTAGCTGGGCCTCGGAATATAGGCAGAGGTAATGCCAGGAAAGCCCACCATCTTGACGAAATCACTCGTCATGTTCGGAGCCATCAACGAATTAGAGACTTTGAGTTTTGCTGTGAAACAATCGTTCCTCTTTTTTCAACAACGCGAAGAGAAAACCTAGTTCTAGTTTTGGGAATTTTGTTCGACATCGTGCTTAAAATTGATTAATGCAAAAAGAAGTTAAGTAGATTACCTGGTAATTGAAGATGCCGGGAGTTCGAAATCGCCGCCGCACGCTGCCGCCAAACTACTGGAAAATCTCGCAAGAGAGAGAAGAATTGGAGAGAGAAAAGTAGAATGGAGTAGAAGTTTGGGGAAGCGCGAAGCGTGTTTCAGTAATTAAAGAATGAAGTGACGGTTAAGAGTAAAGAGAGTGGGAGAAGTGGAGTAACTCCTCTGAAGAACGTGCATGATAAAGGACGAAATCGCCCCTCTAAATAATTAGAAATTTTTACAGTTATTTGATTTTTGTTTATTTTTTGTTATTTTTATTTTGTCTTGCATTTTTATTTTTTAAGTAATTGCCAAAAGTGTATAGTTATCTACATTTTAGCAATTAGGGGCAAATTGTTATGGGTAAAAATCTGCAAGAGTTAGTCAACGACAGTCAATGAAGGTCAATGACGAAGACTCCCCTTGACGAAGCTGCAAGCTCGACGACGCATGAAGACATCGATGGAAGACAACTTCAAGTAACGACTCCCTATTTTTTAGGAAGAGAATAAGCAAGGATTTAGTCCAACCTCAGCCAAATCAGTCCGTTGGAATTCAAAACAGAAGAAGAATATTTTTAGCAACTAACATCCGAAAATCATGGGCATAATCTTATCTCCTTGCAACGGCTAGGTTCAACTTAGCAAACCATATATATAAAGGGCAAGGCAACGACGAGTATAGGACATTCTCATCCAACGATACACATCCTACATCATATCTTGTAAACTGATATTATTATTTTTTTTGGCATAGTGAAAGTTTGGTAGATCCTCATTCTACCCGCGGTTTTTACCTTCATTGGGTTTTCCGCGTCACCAATTCCTCGTGTCAGTTATTCTCTTTTTATTCTTGTCTTACTTTTGATTTTGCTTAGTTGATCCGTAGCCTAGATTTTGATAATCAATCCCACCTAACAAAAATTAGCATAAACACTTTACATCAACCCATGATCCTATACCGATGTTAAAAATGTTTTTTTTTTCGCATGACATAATGCTACCAAATTATTTTATTTGACCGTCAAATAAAGTCAAATTGTTATGGGTACTATTACTAGCCCTTTTGTATTAATCGATTAGTCATTGACTTTATTTGACCGTCGTTGACTTACACTTATAGATTTTTACCCATAACAATTTGCCCCTAATTGCTAAATGTGGATTGCCATATTCACTTTTGGCAATTAAAAACAAAATAAAAAGCGAAAACAAAAGAAAAAAAGTAAAAAATGCAGAAAAATTCAAATTACATGGGGGCGATTCCGTCTTTTCATTTATCATGCACATTCTTTAGGGAAGTTACTCCATTTTTCCCACTTTCTTACTCTAACCGTCATTTCACTCTTTAATTGCTGCAACACGCTTCGCGCTTCCCCAAACTTCCACTCCACTTCACTCTTTTCTCTCTACTTTCTTTTTCTTTCTCGGAGTTACTCGGGTGGTTGAGCGGCAGTGTGCGGCGGCGATTTTGAACTTCCGGCATATTCAATTTACCAGGTAATTTTCTTAATTTCTTCCTTTGTCAGTTAATTTGGGCTGAATGTCGAACGAAATTCCCAAAAATAGAACTAGGCTTTCTCTTCGTGTTATTGAAAAAAGGGGAACGGTTGTTTCACAGAAAGAATCGATGTCTCGACCAAAGTCTTCAATGACGCCCAATATGACAAAAGAATTTGTCAAAATGGCGGGCTTTCCCAACACTACCTTTTCCCATATTCCGGGACTGGGGCAGACGGTGGAGGATTTTCAGGAAGGTTTCGTTGCTTTTTTTTAAGTATCCTTTCGTGGAGACAGGAATTACGTTCCCGTTTTCGCCTTTGGTCCGTTCTTTTCTTGAGGTTTTGGGTATCAGTCCTGGACAACTGATGCCATCTGGTTGGAGGATCCTGTCGCTGATATCAGAGAAGACGAAGGACTGGGAAGATCCTTTTACTCTGGCGGATTTGGCCATAGGTTACGAGATAAAAATGGCTGAAAGTGGGTTTGTTAGTTTATGCAATAAAGGGGATAGGTTGGTTTTGAACACCGATGTGAATGACAGGGACTGGAAGAAATGGTTTCTTTTTATCAGGAAGACGTCTTTAGGTGATGATGGAGTATGGTTGACGGAAGGGTGGCCGACGAAGGGTAAGTGTTCTTCTCTCGAATACGTGTTCTATCGGACTAAAACTGGCTAAATTGTTTGGTCTTGGTTTTACTTGTGCAGAGTTGGATTTGGGGTTTCTTGAGACGTCGGAGACATCTTCGGCAAACGTGAAGAGGTTCCTAACACTTAGCCCTTCGGTGAGAACCTTTGCAAGGAAGAAGAAGGCTGTTGGTGATCAGTCGGGACATAAGCAGGTAACACCGACGAGTACTTCTCAACAAGTCAAAGATTCTGAAGAAACGATGTTAACTCGTAAGTTCTGCGTTGTCATTGCTTTACTCTCGTCTTGTCATTGTACCCTTACTTATGCATTCGTCTGTCGTACTTTGTGTTGTGGCAGACTCAGCTGCTCAAGGCGTTCGTCGTGGTCGGAGCTTGACTTAACAAGAATACGACTTACGAATGAGAAGGAAGCGGGGTCTGGCGTCTCGTGAACAGCAGCTGTTGTCTTCCGATGAGAAGGTGGAGCCTATTTCGACTCCAACGTCTAGGAGAACAGTCAACGAGGAGGGAACTATTACACTGTTGCCGACTCCTCCGCGCAAGAATCAGAAGACTGACGACGATCCTCCTGTTCCCGACATTCTGGCGCGCTTTCCCGCCTATTTCCTGGATCGGAAGGACGACCGACGTTCTCTTTTCCCTGCCCTGAACCAACTGCTGTTCCCTAAGTCTAGGGAGGTCTTGGCTGGGACTTCTGTATTGGACATAGCCTCTGAAGCTGCTGCGGCTAACTTATACGTAAGTCTCTATTTGGTTTAGTTTTTATTTATCGGGGTTAATTCTTTGGTTTGTAACTGGGGGTGTGTTTGGCCAGTGTTTGCGAAATTCTCTGGTGTTGAGGGACAGGGTAATCGGCTTGGCCAGAGAGATGAAAAGGTTGGACGGGTGCTGCCAAGAATAGTGAAGCTCAACGTAAGACTGCAGTTAACGTGTTCTAGATGACCAAGAAAGATTTGGACGAGGCGACAAAGAAGGTGGACGATTTGGAAAATCAGCTGAAAGCTCAATCGAAGACAATGAAGGAGGAAACTCAAAAGCTTAGGGACTAGTTGAAGGAGCAGGCCAAGCATTTGGAGGAGAAGGTTGGGGTTATTGCTGCTAAGGACGAGGCTTTGACGAGGGTTCAGGAAGAGTTGGCATCGACCCAAAAGGAGTTGGAAGATGCGTTGGACGACTATGCCGAGTTGGGTATCAATGTGAAGGCGAAGCTGATAAAGAAATTTCTTGATGGGAAGGCTCCGGAATGGCGCCCTTAAGAGGTGATCGATTGCTTTTCGACCAACGGTGGGGCTCTTGAACTGGAGGAGGATGCTGCAGTTGCGTCGACTGCGGATTCTAGTCCGTCGGTCATCGTTCCTTCACCTTTTGCTGATGTCGATACTCAGCCTCTCATCGTCGGCGATCAGTCTGTAACCGTTGGGGACCAACCTGTCGTTGTCAAAGATCAACCTGCCGAGGGTGCTGAGGAACCGCAGGTCAAAGGTGTTGACGAAAAATGCTCGTGCCGATGAGATCGTCAAAGAAGTCGTTGATGGGCTCTTTGTCGAAGGAACTAATGCTTGAAGGCCATCGTCTATGATGTTTTAGACTTTTGCTTTGTATGCTGACTAACTTTTGCTTTCGTTGGAAAAACTATATTTTTATTATCTTCGTACTTTGTTCCACTTGAGGGCAAGTGGTTTTTTAATTTCTTCTGTTTGTATGACATTGCTCTTTCATGCTACGTATTTCTTGCTTTTCGATGCTACTTGATATCGATTTGTGTTCTGTAGATATGAAGTCAAAACATAACACTAAGGTTTTGTGAAAAAATATGGCTAAGTAAAAACAGAGGTTTGAAAAGGATGACATGTCAAGGGTATGCAAAAAAGATTTCAAATTTTTTTTTACTTTTATTAATGTTTGAATAATGTATAAACAGTAAAATCATAAAAATGTTTAAGCGTAAAAGTACTTCTATCACTATACAGTGTCCTCGTATACTTCTATCACTATACAGTGTGCTCGTCGGAGGTTTTGTATTTTAGGCCTATCGTTGCGTTGCTTGCCAATGCCCCTTGCGTACTAGCGTCGACGCTGAACACTGAAGACTAGTTCATTGTTCAGGTATCGGGTGTTTGGCGTCGGACGCTAAGGTCAGATTTACCCCGGGCTTTGTCATGCTTCGATTATCGTTTGAACGGCAGCTTTCCTCATCCCTCTTTAAAGGATGTCAGTGTAGCTGACACCTGTCGTCGTTTGCCTTTTCTATATGTTTGGATTGTGACCAAGTTTTTTTGCTTTTTTGACTACGTGCTTTGTCGGTCAATGTTTTGCAAAACCAACACGGTTAAAGTACCGTTGGCCGTTGGCACGGCCAACGGCCCTCCGATGCTTAAGTCAGTACACTTGATCATAAAAGGAAACTTTAAAGGAATGAAACGAGCTTGGAATTTTAATAGGATGTTACCTCTTAGTCGACGAGTGCTTTTAACGATTACTTAGAAGTAGTATTTTCTGAGATGAGTTGCGTTCCAGCTTCTTGGAACGGGGTTGCCTTTTTGGTCGGTCAGTCGATAAGCGCCATTTCCGACGACTTGGGTGATTTTATATGGACCTTCCCATGGAGGGGAAAGCTTTCCGTCGGCCGGATTCTTAGTGTTCTGGAATGCTTTCCTGAGTACCCAGTCACCTAGTTGGAATGTTTTGGCCTTGACGTTTTTATTGAACCTTCTTGCGACGATCTGTTGTTGTGCCGCCATTCTGATTAACGCCGCCTCTCTTAATTCTTCGGTTGCATCTAAGTTGTCCTCCATTTCCTCCTGATTTCTTTCTTCCGTCATGAGACCGAATCTTGACGTCGGGAAGTCGGCCTCTACTGGGAGAACGACTTCACATCCGTAGACCAGGGAGAAGGGCGTCTGCCCCGTCACTTCTCTTGGCGTCGTCTGGTTGGCCCATAGGACTGCTGGGAGCTCGTAGGCCCATTTGCCTTTAGCTGTTTTTATCCTTTTTTTGATGGCCTCCATGACAACTTTGTTGCTGGACTCGGCCTGTCCGTTGGCTTGTGGATACCTTGGCGTCGACGTTGTTAGCTCTATGCAAAACTTCTGCAAAAAAGAATGAGTTTTGTCGCTAATAAACTGCGACCCGTTGTCACAGACGATCACTGACGGGATTCCTAACCTACAAATAATATTAGTCCGTATGAACGTAATGACCTCCTTGTCCGTCACCTATTTCAAAGCAATTGCCTCAATCCATTTGGAAAAATAATCGGTTAGTGCTAGCATATAAACTCTTTGCCCTGGTGCTGCGGGTAGCTTCCCGACTATATCCATTCCCCATCTCATGAAGGGCCACGGAGAAAACGTCTGGTGGAGGGGTTCCGACGGTTTATGGACGGTGTTGGCGAACCGCTGACAGCTGTTGCATCTGGTCACATATTGCACTGCGTCTTCGTGAAGCGTCGGCCAGAAGTATCCTTGTCTTTTCGCAATTTTGGCTAGTCTTCTTCCTCTGACGTGACTACTGCATATTCCGTCGTTCAAGTGGCTAAGGATGGACTGTTGTTCATGTTTTTGGATGCATCTTTGGGATAACCCTAACGCTGATTTGTGGAATAGGACTCCGTCGACGATATGGTATCGATCGGCTTTGTATTTGAGTTTTTGAGATTCCGCCTTGTTATTGGGGAGGATGTCTTTGGTTAGGTAATCTACAATGGGTTTGGTCCAATCATCGTCGTCATCGACGTCATCAATGGGTAAGATTTCTTTGGTGGACACGGATGGTTTTTGCAAGTGGACTAAAGGAATATTTGAGAAGGTGGTCTTTTTAAGGGCGGAAGCTAGGTTTGCTAATGCGTCGGCTTGGGCATTTTGGTCTCTTGGGATTTGTGAGATAGTGAAATGGTCAAAGTGTCTGGCTTTTTCTTTGGCGACATCGAGGTATGCTGTCATTTTGGAGTCTTTGGCTGCGAAGTCACCTGTTATCCGGCTGACGATGAGAAGGGAGTCACTGTAGATATCCAAGGATGTGGCACCTAAATCTTTTGTGACGATCATTTCTGCAATCAAAGCTTCATATTCTGCTTCATTGTTAGTTGCTTTAAAATCACAAGATATAGACCTTACTATCATGTCCCCTTGTGGCGACTATAGCACCATTCCCAGGCCAGCCCCTCGTTGATTGGACGAGCCGTCGACGAACAGGATCCATTTGCCCTTTTTCTGGATGTTATTGATTTCTTCTACTTCTTTGTCGGCTAAGGCTTGCTAATGGGGGTGAAGTCAGCCACAAAATCTTCTAGTGCCTGGGACTTGATTGCTTTCCTGGGTTGGTACTCGATGTCCATTATACTTAGGGATATGCTCCATTTGCCTAATCGTCCTGTTAAATCTGGCTTTCTCAATACAGACTTAAGTGGGTAGTTAGTCATCACCACTACATGGTGGGTTTCAAAATAGTGCCTTAGTTTCTTAACAGCAGTAATTAGAGTAAGAGCTAACTTTTCTAGAGACGTGTACCTTACCTCGGCTGGGAGAAAAGTTTTACTTACGTAATAGACCGGAAGCTGCCCAGCTTCGTCGTCTTCTCTCGTCAAGACTGCGCTGACGGCAACAACGCTGACGGCAATGTAAAGCTACAAAGGTTCGTTAGTCTTAGGTTTTGACAGGAGGGAAGGTATCATTAGATACTTCTTCAAATCTTGCAAAGCTTTTTCATGATCTTCAGTCCATTTTGTTTGACGGAGGTGATCGACGTGGTCCTCTGACTTCTTTTATTTCACCAGCATATCGTCGATGTCTACCTCCATCGAGTCTCCTAGCTGATCCTTGAACATCCTGTTGACGAGTCTCTGGTACGTCGAACCTGCATTTTTTAGTCCAAAAGGCATAACTTTGTAGCAATTAATACCTTTATCGGTCATGAAGGCCGTCTTCTGCTGATCGTCGGGATGCATTAAGATCTGGTTGTATCCGGAGTAGGCGTTCATGAATGTTAAAAGCTCATGACCTGCTGTTGCATCTACTAGGGCGTCGATGTGCGGTAATGAAAATGGATCTTTGGGACATGCTTTGTTGAGATCGGTGAAGTCGATGCATACTCTCCACTTGCCGTTCTTTTTTCTAACAACGACGACATTAGCGAGCCAATATGGATACTTGATTTCTCTTATTTTCCCGGTGTTGATTAGCTGTTGCACTTCGTCGTTGATGATTTTGTTGCGCTCTGGAGCAAACTTTTGACGCTTTTGTTTGACGTGCTTGTGATTTGGATTGACGTTCAACTTGTGCGAGATGATAATCGGATCTATTCCAGTCATATCTTCATTGGACCAGGCGAAACAATCTTTATTTTCTCGGAGAAAGGTTAGGATAGTATCTTTGAGTTCAGGTGCTAGGCTGGCTCTGACACGGACGGTCTGATCTTGTTTTTTAGGGTCTAAAGGTATTTCGTCAATTTCGAGGTCGTTGGGATTGTCTGGAGTCGGGCCATGCTGTAATTGCTATGCAGTTCTCATGGTTGGCTTTAGGGTTGTTTTGTATATGTGTTTAGCTTCGCGGGGATCTCCTTTAATTTCTTGGATCCCCCACGGGGTTAGGAATTTTATTGAATGGTGGTAGGTGGAAGGGATAGCTTTTAGTCGTTGGATCCATGGTCTGCCTACTATGGCATTGTAGGCTGAAGGGCAGTCGATGATGTTGAATTTGGTTTGAGGGTTTAGGCCTCCTGCGTAGGTTGGTAGGGTTATGTCTCCGAGAGTTGACATACTTTCGCCACTAAAATCGACAAGAGTTGTTGACCTTTTGGTGATGTCGCTGTCTTTCAACCCCATATCTTCCATAGTTCTTTTGAATAGGACATTTGCGGAGCTTCCTCCGTCGACCAACACCCTTCGAAGCAGACAATTTCCGATGACCAAGGAAATAACAAAGAATCCTCATGCTCTCTGTTGATGTTATTGATATCGTCATCGTCAAAGGTAATTGTCATCGCCTCTAACTTCTTTTCCAAAGGATCTCTGATTTCTTCTGGGACATCTTTATTATCTATTGTCGACTTTGCGAACCTCTTTGCTGCAGAATAGGTTAGTCCACAAATATCGGAACCGCCAACATTAACTATTACCTTAGGTACGGGTGGCTTTGGGGGCCCGTTTGTCGTCGATTCTGGTTGAGGGCGATCGGCGTCGCTGCTTTTATTCTTCCCCAAAAGGTGCTTGAGGTTGCCTCTCTTCAACTGGAAGGCGACTTCTCTTAGTAGGGCGTAGCAATCTTCCGTCTTGTGGCCATGATTGCTGTGGAACTCACACCACTTGCTCATATCTTTCTCCGACTCTGGCTAGTTAATCTTCATCGGCCAGCGGACTTTGCTCCCCAAGGGCTGCAATTCTTTCATCCACAGCCACAATGTTCACGTCAAACTCGTACTCGAATATCTCGGGGTATTGCGGGGCGCCGAGGATCTGTTCCACCTGCGCAACATTAACAGAGCGTGATCTACCTGCTGCCTCATCGGGCTGGTGTCGCCATGATTCTCTGTGGTTGCTTGGGGCTTTGCGGTCGGACGAGCCTCTGGAGCTTGGATAGGAGCTCCGATTGGCGATATCCTCGTCGAAGCGCATTTGGGCCACTACTCTCGTCCTGACTTCTTCGAATGTTGAGCATGGGTACTTGACCATATCTTTGTACATATCTGAATCTGTATGCAATCCATGGAGGAAGGCTTTGATGTCAGTTCTATTGTCGACGTTTTTGATCGAGACCTTCTCTTTGTTGAATCGAGACCAAGAAGTCTTAATGGTTTCCTTGGGTCCTTGGACGATCCGATATAGATCGCTTGTTTGCTTGTCGAACTGCCTGCTACTTTCAAAATGGGAATAGAATTTGTTAACTAACATAGAAAAACTAGTTATACTACCTAGTTCGAGTTTGCCGAGCCATTTGAGAGCGGGGCCAGTCAGCGTCGCGCCGAACGATTTGCACATGCACGCTTCCCAGCACTCGAACGGGATCAAAGCTTGCCACATCTGCTGCTTGTAATATTCGACATGCTGCTCTGGACAGGTCATTCCATCATAAAGCGACATGAAGGTCGGGAGCGACACTCTTCTGGGAATCTGGGCTAGGGCCAGCTCGTCACAAAACGGAGTTGCTGCGAACCCATATGGAGCTTCTCTCTGAATAGGGATCGGAACACCTGGCATTCTCTTCATCATTGACAGTACCCTGGATTTCTGCTTTTCTAAGGCGACAAACCTCTGGAGCAGGATCTCTATTTGGTCCGGTTACGGGTTGTCCTGGTCATTCCCTGAAGTCCGGATGATTCCTTGCCCGCTGTTCCTAATTGGAGGATCCGTATTCATTTCCCCGTCACTAGATTTGGTGTCGGTGTCATGTCGAGACTTAACGACATCCAACGACGACATCCTATGGATCACACCTAGGTGTCTCGGCCGGTGACGACGATTGCTCTGAGCGGACTCTAATGGTTGACGAGAGTGGCTGCATCGAATTCCGATGCTCCCTTTTCCTTGCTGAGACGCTCATTGGATTCCCTGGCTGCTTCAAGATCGGCTTGAGCTTTCTCATAGGCTTACTTCAGCTGTTCTGGGGTCATTTCGTTGGAAGACATATTGGAAGGTGAATAGGGATTTTCGGATTTTACCTAGTTGTAGCCCCACGGTGGGCGCCAAATTGTTTATGCTTATTTTCGTTGAGTGGGATTTAATATCAAAATCTAGGCTACGGATCAACTAAATAAAATCAAAGATAAAACGAAATGAAAGATAATTAAGTGGCACAAGGGATTAGTGACGCGGAAAACCCAATGAAGGTAAAAACCGCGGGTAGAATGAGGATCTACCAAACTTTCACTATGAAAAAATATCGAAGGTAACAAAATACAATATATGATTTGAGTATGAATATCGATATTCCCTTCTCTGTCGATATTCTTCTCATTATATAGGCTATTGCTAGGTTAAATTCTAGTCGTTGCAAGGAGGTGAATCGGATTCCATGATTTTCGGATAGTGGTTGTGCAGAATATCTTTTCTGTTTTTATCCTCAGTGAAGGGAGTAGGCTGAGCTTAGACTTGGTCTACCAAGCTTATCTTCCCTTAAGAAATAGGGAGTCGTTACTTGGGTCTGTCCTCCGTCCTTGCTGAAGCAATTTGTCCTATTTCAGCCTTCGTCAAGATGAGTCTCCGTCATTGGCTTTATTTGACCGTCGTTAACTTATACTTATAGATTTTTACCCATAACAATTGCTTTATACATTAAATCTTGTGTTGTTAACTTATTCACAATTGCATATTAAATAATTACATATTTATATATAACTTTTTATGATCAAATTTATATTCATTTTTTTTACAGTCCCCTAATCTAAAAAAGAGATGTTTCTTAAATATTTTATCTTATTAAATTTGATTTCATATATATATATATAGCAAGAATAGCCTATTACTCCTAATATATATGTAATTGAAATAGTGTTAATTCATTATTCATTCATAGAATTATGCATGTCTAATAAATTAAATTATATATGTTCTTTATAACATTGATATACTTTTCATTTTCCTTGATCAACTAAATTTTGTATGCAATACATTCTACAATAAAAGGAATACAGAGTACATATTGATATTCTCCGTATGTAAAAAATATTCACTTGTATTAATTATATGTTTTTATTGCATCACAAAAACACTAATAGTAACAAATTATATATTCTGGTATCGAATGAGAAATATTATTAATAAAACTTGTTTGGGTCCAATTTAGTCCAATTGGGCCTGGTCACTGAATGATCCAATTAAAAGCCCAAGGTTAAGGTTCAACTCTCCAAATGTGCTAAAGTCAAAAATCAACATCCTCAAAGCCATGTCAAGGACAGTCAACGGCCCAATCAGCTTGGCCCAGCCCAACTGACTTCCGGGCCCAATCCGCCTCCTTCATTAGCCAAGGTATAAAAGCCAACAATTTGGTCAATTCTTGGTAAGACAATAAAGCCTCAAGCAACTAAACTCTTGCACAGCTTTCTCTCTCTAATATACTGACTTAAGCATCGGAGGGGCCTTCCTCGGCGTCCCCCCGAGGCTAGTTTACGTGTATTTGTTGTGCAGGAA